CTTGTAAAGTGTGGATTTCTTTTTTATTCTCAAGTTGTAGATAAGTAAATGATTGATTTCCTAGATAAGGTGCTATTTTATTGAAATTTCCCCTAGTTTTGGTTGTGATTTTGGGAATCAAATTGTATCTTGTCTCGAATTTTTCCGCCCGTCATGGTCAAAGTACCCAAAATCGTTTGACCAGTTCCGATACGGATCCCACACCCACATTAGTGTCGTGTCGACACGGGTGCGGCATCTAAACTGTCGTGTCGGAGAAGCTTAGAATTTCCCAAGGTGTTTTGGTTTGGTTTTGAAGAAAATGTGGGAATATTTTCACGTGTTGTGACGTCAAAACTTGATATCAAATGGTCCAGCAGCTGCCTATGGCTTTTTCACTTTCTTGCTTAAGATGAGGTGATATTGCTGGGTTCATTATTAGGAATGTTAAATCCAATTTTTGTAATATGCAGGTAAAGATGCTGAAGATATTAAAGAAAGCGTCCAAGTAGAGAGCAAACCTAAGCTGGATATCCGCCTCAGTGACCTGAAACTTGTTCTGGGACCAGAACTGAGGATAGTTTATCCTCTAATTCTCAATTTTGCTGTCAGTGGAGAACTTGAGTTAAATGGTGTTGCTCATCCCAAGTGGATAAAGCCTAAAGGCATATTAATGTTTGAGAATGGAGATGTCAATCTTGTTGCAACACAGGTTAAACTTTTGAACTCTTTTCTCGTCCTGGCAGGTTCTGAGTTGATTTTGTCTCCTTTTTATTTTTATTTTTGTTCTTGGGTGGGTGTAGGCTCCTTGTGGAATTCTGAGATTCCATTTTCTCTTCATCTGATTTCTATATTGTCTTCAAATCCAGGTGAGACTGAAGCGAGATCATCTAAACATAGCCAAATTTGAGCCTGATAATGGACTTGATCCAACGCTAGACTTGGCTTTGGTTGGATCAGAGTGGCAATTCAGGATACAAAGTCGTGCTAGCAAATGGCAGGATAATTTAGTGGTCACATCAACACGTTCTGTGGAGCAAGATGTCTTGTCACCTACTGAGGTTGTCACTTTGATGCCAATGTTTTCTTAATGCACAATCAATCTAATAATACAACACTGAAAAGCTGGCGGACTTTTTACGTTAAATTATTTAGAAATTTATTTAATTGGATGCCGACAATCTTAATTTTGCAAAGGTTAAATAGACGAGCATGCTTCCACAAGAATGAGTTGGAAAGGGGTTGGGAGGGAGGGAAACAAAAGCAATTTTTCTAGTGGTTTATTTTACAGCGAGCTAAAGAATCATATTACTTTGGCATGCATTGCTGGTGGATCTTAAATGAATGAACATGCCAATATCCTTCCATCCATCCATGCTGTCATGTTTTACCTGCGCTGCTGAATACTTTAGTTCAAATATCTAATGCTTTTGGGAAAGATAAACTGCAGAATACAACTACAAACATCTATATGTACAATTAAATATTTCAATTTAAATGGCTCAAGAGATGTATTGATACATGGCTAAACTAACTTAAAACTGTTCTGGCTGAACAGGCTGCTAGAGTTTTCGAGAGTCAATTAGCTGAATCCATTTTAGAAGGTGATGGCCAGCTTGCTTTTAAGAAGCTTGCCACTGCAACACTTGAAACATTGATGCCAAGAATAGAGGGGAAAGGAGAGTTTGGACAGGCCAGATGGAGGCTAGTTTATGCACCACAGATCCCCAACTTGCTTTCTGTTGATCCCAGTGTTGATCCTCTGAAGTCTCTGGCCAGCAATATTTCATTTGGTACAGAGGTTGAAGTTCAACTAGGGAAGCGCCTCCAGGTTAGAATTATTCTTTCTTCTTTCCGTTTNTTTTTTTCTTTCCATTTCTGAGTTTGCCGGTCAGTGGATTCTGTGCTAGATCTTTTCATAAACGATTTTATAATTCAAGATAAATTACATTAGCATGAACATTGTTGAGAATTTCAGAAGATGGATGCTATATGCATCATAAGTGGAGGCCACTGGTCCAATTAAAGATGATTTTGATGTGAAAGTAAATGAAACTATAAACTTCTGTTCTGGACATCATGAAAAAACTGATTCCTTGGAGTCCTTTTTTTAGGACACTAATAGAACCTTTAATAGAACAAATTTCGCTTTTAAATGATGAGCAGAACTTATGACAGAACAAATTAACCATTCACTGTATATTCAATCTAGTCCAAACTAGAGGAGGTAGATGAACTATATATTTTTGATTTCATTTAGTAGAAAGGTTATCAAACAACTTATGAGTACAATGAAACTTTGGAACATATATCATCACATGCTTCTAGCTGTTCACATGGCAAAAGCAGCACACCTAGTAGTTGTAGGATTATGATTATATACGAAAGCTGTCATACTCCAAATTCTTAAGCTGATAGACAATGAGCAAAGAAAGCCTGAATAGCTAATTCATCATTCAGTTCTAGTGTTTTTTTGTGGAATCACTTGAACTTACCGTTGCGTTGGTGGTGCCATAAAATGTATGTTCTTAACATCTTCTGGTCGTTCGTGCTACTTTTTATGGCATTGGGTTGAAAAGTGTAAGGGTTGGAGAACATCATGTTAATCATACTCTGGGATAATATTGTAAATGCCCTTTTATCTGCAAATATTCTATTTAAGTCATACTCAGTTTTATGTTGATTGATTGTACCAATTTATCATTAACCAAGACATTTCTACTCTGCTTTCCAGGCCTCTGTAGTAAGGCAGATGAAGGACTCTGAGATGGCAATGCAATGGACTTTGATATATCAGCTCACAAGCCGGCTCCGGGTGCTTTTACAGTCTACTCCATCCAAACGTCTTCTATTCGAATATTCAACAACATCACAAGACTAAGCTTAGGTTTTCAACATTGTACATATTTGGATCTTGTTATAGGAGCCTAGGAATCTAGAACAAATACCTTCACTCACCTTATCACCCACCAGCAAACTACTAGTTAAAGCAGATTTCATTGCAGCATCTGAATGATGTAAGTTGTAAATTCCATTATTCTTTGCTCAAAAAAAGGAACAAATGAGCATGTTTATAGGTTGTAAATTTTACTTTGGTTCAAATATATGCAAGATGACTGTTGTCATTTTGTTCATCCCAAATAATTTTGAGTTGAAGGACATACATAGCACCATAGCAGCATCTCTCTTTAATGACCCCTGAGCTATTCCTTGTCCAATCTTCTGGTGTGAGCAGAACTTTCGGTTCAGAGGAGTAGATGCAACCAAGACAATACTTTCTCCTCCTCTCTTTGCTATCACTATGACAAGCTTCAAGCATTTCCCCAATTTGATTTCAAACCAATCATTGAAAAATATGTTTTCAATACCCCCACACTATTTTCACCGGCAATTCGGCTACATTGGAAGAAAGGGCAGCTCAGTGCACTAAGCTCCCGCTATTTGCGGGGTTCTCGAGGGGTCAAACCTCATTGGGTCCTGCTAGACGCAACATTACCTTGTATTTTTTTTAGGAGGATGTTTCCGCAGCTTGAACTCGTGACCGCCTGGTCGTGACAAATTTTTACCGTTGCACCAAGGCTCCCTGTAACGATCCGGTCGGTCGTTTCGAGCATTTTAGCCCCGTTCTCCTATTTATTGCCTTCTCTATGTTGTATTATGGTTATGTGATTTGCCGGGGGTGTTTGGTTTTGGTTTCGGTTTCAGGTGAGTTTCAGAGTGAAATGAGACACATAGTCCCTAAGTGGGAGCTTTAAGTTGAAAGAGTTGACCGTAGTTTGACTTTTGTGTAGACGACTCCGCAATGGAGTTTTGACGGTTTCAATAGCTCCATATGGTGATTTTTGGACTTAGGAGCGTGTCCGGACTTGATTCGAGGTCCGTAGGTCGTTTCGGCTTATTGGCGAAAGTTAGAAAGTTGAAAGTTTGGAAGGCTAAGAAGTTTGATCGGGAGTTGACTTTATTGATATCGGATTCAGATTCCGATTCCGAAAGTTGGAATAGGTCCTCATGTCATTTATGACTTGTGTGCAAAATTTGAAGTCAATCGGAGTTGTTTTGGTATGAATCGACATTAGTTTTGGAAGTTAGAAGTTCATAAGTTAATTAGGCTTGAATAAATGCGAGATTCGTGGTTTTAATGTTGTTGATGTGATTTGACGCTTCGATCGTGTTCGTATGATATTTTAGGAGTTGTTGGTATGTTTGGTTGAGGTCTCTGGGGCCTCGGGTGTGATTCGGATCATGTTCGGCGCATTTTGAACTTGGGGACTGCTGATTTTTCTGTGCTGGTTACCTTATATGCGATCGCGAGTGGGGGATCGATCGTGATCGCTAAGAGTGTTGCAGGCAGATGGGGAAATTTGTGCTATGCGTTCGTGAATAGGTGTATGCGATTGCGAAGCTTTGGGAGTCAGTGAATCGCGAACGCGTGAGCTGGGCCGCGTTCGCGAAGAAGAAAGAGGGAGACTGGAGTTCACGTGATTTGTTCTTCGCGATCGCGTGAGGTGGTTCGCGATCGCATAGGTCGGGGTGTCTGCGTATCTCGTTCGCGACTGTTGGTTCGCGTTCGCGAAGAGTACTTTGAGGGCAGCTTGAATTTTGTTCTTCGCGATCGCGAGGGACTTTCTACGATCACGAAGAGGAACACCTGGGCAGAAAAGGCCTAAGTTCGAGGGCTTCATTTCATTATCCATTTTTGGACCTAGAGAGCTCGATTTGTGGCGATTGTTCGAGAGATTTTCGAAATTCATTGGGGTAGGTGATTCTAACTCGGTTTTGACAATATTACACGAATCCATTGTTATTTTCATCATTTAATTAGTGATTTGAGTTGAAAATTTGGGGAAAATAGTGAAAACTTCCTAGGCTAAATTTTGGGAATTTGAAAGGTAATTTGAGGTCAGATTTGAGTAGTTCTTGTATGGTTGGACTCGTTATCGAGTGGGTGTTCGGATATTGTAATTTTGGTAGGGTTCCGAGACGTGGGTCCGGGTTGACTTTTTTTTTTGTTTTTGTAAAGATCGTAACTTTATTGTTCGAAATAGTTTCCTATAGTTTATTTATGGTATGAAGTTGTTTTGGCTAGATTCGAGTCGTTTGGAGTTAGATAATCGAGGAAAGGGCTTACTAGTGGATTGAGTTAGCGTGTTTTGAAGTAAGTGTCTTGCCTAACTTTGTCTGGAAATTTTTTTCCTTATGATTAGTGTTGGTTTGCGTTAATTGTGATATGTGAAAGCCGTGTACGCAAGGTGACGAGTGTGTACATGGGCTAAATATGGTAATTGCCCAATTTTAGCCATGTAGATTCATTTCATGCCTTTAATTGAGTTACTATAACATGTTATATCCATTATCATTAGTCTATCTTCACATGATCTACTTGTCTTATCTGTTACTTGTTAATTGATCTACATGTTTAGTTGAAGTTTTGGTTTCCTCTATTCCTTATTCATTATTTAACCATTGAATTCTTTACTTGAAGTTGTTATTCTTGGAATATCTTGTTGTTGAAATTGGTATTGAGTTATAAAGGCTATGATTCACATTAAGACAAAGTGTTAAGTTGTGAAATACTATTCTTGTTGAGTTATTCACTTTCGGTTGTTATTGTTGAGACTTGTGTATATTGTGGTTGAGTCATGGGCTGTTTATTGTGAAAATACCGTTATTGTTGATTTCTTTGGCAAGTTATGATATTGGGCACTTGAGGTGCGATTTATGATACGTTGTGATAGTGATATGCATGCGGTGGTATAAGATTTCAGGGTTGAAACGCATGCAGTGAGATAAGGTGAGCTTGATACGCGTGTTGCTAGTAGGGGAACTACTTGAAGCCATGCGGTGTAATAAGGTGGGCTAAAACGCGGGAAGCTATTTCGAAAAAAATAATTTCAAAACTAAATGCAAGCTCCCGCAGTGATATAAGGAAAGATTGTGAAATGCTTTGTAATTTGAGACTACGAGACAATATCTCGGTAGTGATTCTTGTTGATACTTTTCCATTACCTCACTTGTGTTTTGTTGCTTTGTTCCGTGTCATAGCATTACCTTGTCTTCCTTCCGTGATGCATTATTTGCCTTAGTTCAATGTAGTTAATCTCGGTGTATTTCTTTATTGTCTCCTTTCTATTGCTGTCATAATTTCACTGCTATATACCTGTTCAACTTCTTATTTATTCTAGTAGGGCCTTGACCTAACCTTGTCAGTACTCTACCGAGGTTAAGCTTGGCACTTACTGGGTACCGTTGTGGTGTACTCATGCTACGCTTTTACACATATTTTTATGCAGATCCAGGTACCTCCTATCAGTCCAGGTGAGACGAGCTCAGATTCGGAGACTTCAAGGTATACCTGCCGGTGCCCCCCTCTATCTAGTCTACTTTATTTTCTTTTCCTTTATAGACACATTGTTGTATATGGATGATCAGTACTTATTCGTAGAGCTTGTGATTTGTTTTCACCATGTTTTGAGAAAGTTGTATATGCTGAGTTGCGGAGTTTTCTTATTATAGTTGTTGAGTATTTGAGAGTTATTTATTATTTCTGTTATATTCCGCATGTATGTTAGGCTTACCTAGTCTTAGAGATTAGGTGCCATCACGACATCGTACAGAGGAAAATTGGGGTCGTGACAAGTTGGTATCAGAGCTCTAGGTTCATAGGTGTTATAAGTCACAAACAGGTTTAGTAGAGTCTCGCGGATCAGTACGGAGACGTCTGTACTTATCCTCGGGAGGCTATGGAACTGTTAGAAAAAAATTCACTTCTTTGATTCCTTATCGTGCGAATTTGTTGACTTCGAAATCCTAAATCTCTATCTTTCTGTTCTCTCCCGGATGGTGAGGACACATATAGCTGGATCGGATGATCAGACACCCGCGCCCCTTGCTAGAGCCGCGAGAGGTCGGGGCAGAGGCCGAGGAAGGGCAAGTGGTGCATCTAGAGCACCTGCCTGAGGTGCTACAGAGGAGCCACCAGTAGCTCCAGTTGGGGGGCA